AGTAAAAACAATAAAATATTATTGAAATAACTAAGGTAGCTCACAGTGCTGGAGGTCAGAGAAACTCCTGAGCAAAACAAGTTTATTTTCAGTTAATGCAGAAGCACTCCACCCTAGGAGCCCACCTGATGTCAGTGGGGAGATCATTCTGCATGGTGTATGCCACAATTGAGAATTTCCTACTCTTCATCATGGCAAAACCTAGGTACTTTCTGTTCCAGCTTTTTTATTCTATGTGGGAGAGAGTAGTCTCTCAAATAATCTGGCCTGAAGCTGTTTACTGCCTTACAAACCAGCAATAGCAACTTGAAGATGACTTAGTAGCTAATTGATTATCAACACCCTCATGTGCAATAATATCTGCATGCCTTTTTGAAAACCTGCATATATTTAATGTCACTTGGAGCTTGACCCTTGGATTTCCAAAGCACTCTTTAGACTTCACATGTTTTTGCTTTCGTAAACTGAAGCCAAGACTCAGGCAGTTTTGACATTCTGTGACATCTCATTAGTTCAGTTAAGGATAGAGAGGTTTAGTGGATTGTATATTTCCATCTTTTAAACATTTTTACTTTTAAACTTTTTTGTAATCTTCTGAATAGTTTTATAAAGCAGAAAAATTATCTTATTCAGTAGCTCCACATTTTTCATACTTGTTTGCCATTCATATCTCTAATCATACTCTCATAAAATGGAATCCATGCAGACTAGTAGTTCAAGTTGCAAATAGAATATTTGTATGCTCTTCTCATAAGTCCCTCCTCTTCCAGTCAGTTAAGTTTCTGCAATTATATGCTGAGAAACAGTGGCTTTTGAAAGGGAGGAAGTTGCTCTTTTTCTAAACAACAGAAGAAAATTATATCCTGCTGTTCAACCAGTTGCCCATCCCTCACAACTAAAACTATGAAAAGAACATTTAAAATCTAAGTTTCATCTTGAAAAACAAAACTGAAACATGTTATCCAGCAAATGTGGAAAAAAAAGGTTTTGTTTGTATTAAGATCTAGTCTTCTCATCTCCTTAAAATTCACTGCTCCATTTTCATTTCACATTTACAATTATTTTCTGTCTTCCAGTTTTTCACCTTTTAAATGTGCTTCAGTTAAAAAGATTTTTAATTGTATATTCTTACCTAACCTACTTCCTATCTTACCTTTTAAAATTTATTGATCTGTGCTCTGTGTCATACTTTCCTCTTTCTCAGGTTAATTCTTAATCCTTTCCTAATCTATGTTTACTCTTTAACTCAACTGGAAGTGCTCTAGTTTGTATTTCAGTAACCTTGGAGCAAAATAAGGATTTATTTACTGTACCTTTTTTGGATCTGTGTCACTTTTTCTTGCTTCTGTTAGTTATCTTTGTTGTATTAAAACATGCTTTCAGTCATGCTGCTTACTATGCCTTTATGTTTTTTTAAAAGTGGTTCTGTTTATTTTTTTTCATTCCCCAGAAATTTGTATTAGTTCCTTCTCCCTTACTATACTCCATATTTTGCATGCATAAAGGTCTTTGGTAAGACCTTTATGCTGATTTCTTGTAATACTGCTGTAATTTCATTTATTTTCCTGAGGTCAAAACTTTTGCCAAGTCTGAAAGCAATGGTTTCACCCCACCTACCCTTTATATATCTAAAATTCACTTTTTCTGCAGATACTCTCAGATCTTTTAATTCATTGTCTTTATTTCCTATTCTGATAATTATAACATTCTTCTTGGTCTTTTTTCCTACTCTTGTGCCTCAAACCCTACAAATGATGCAAATGGTTTCTGTTCATCATTCACATTCATATTACTTCCTTGCATGGTGGATAAAAAACTTGCAAATTAAACATGGACTATATGAAAAATAACTTAGTCTCATTTTAAAATAATAGTTACAATTAAATCTATATGCATGCTAAACCTACAGTTTAATGAAAAGAATGTACAGGTATGTCATACTCATTGGGTTACCTTCCAGTCAAACATGGACCTTTATGTCATCTTTTCCTTTTTGAGCCTAACTACTAGTTCTTGATTTCTAAATATTCTGGGCTTTGCCATAACTTATTTTATGCAGAATTTTTTGCATGCAGAATGCCCCAGGCTCAGTCTCAAGGAGCATCTCCAGGTAGGACTATGCAAGGATCAAGCCTTAAGACCCATTGTTAGTCAGTGTCAGTCATCCTGGACCATATGACTTTTCCATTTGTTTGTTTGTTTAAAACATTTCTATGCTGCCCCCATCGCAACAAAGCCTCGGGGAGGCTCACAACAAGGTATGTAGGTATGTTTTGCCTACTCAAGTGACATAAGCAAAGGCATAAAGTAGATAGGGTGGTGGTGGAGGAGGAGTTGGGTCATGCAAAGCAAGAAAGATATACAGTAAAGGGGGGGCAGACTGGAAAGTAACAGTGGAGTGAACCAGAAGGTTAAAAGATCAGACATTATATACAGATTCAGCTTCTAGTTTCTATAAATCCTTACATTTTTTCACAGAAAAACTGTCATGGTTTTTGATATAAGGGAGACCCTATCTTGATCTTGTAAAATGAGTTGTAAATTATCATGCTTTAATGATCCAATTTGTACCATTGTTTAAGAAGTGCATGAAGAACTATAAAAATGCAAACTTAATTTAAATCAGTTAAAGTGGAGTTTTTTCCTTACTCCAGTCATGCATCTGGTTCCTCTACATTGTTCTCTTCAATAGAGTCTTTCTTTTTTCTTTTTAAGCTTCTTCTACTTTTCATGGTTTATTTTCCTTTTCCTATACATTCTTTATACCTTTTTCTCTATAGCTACTCATCATAGTTATTCTCAAAATTATTCTTTATTTTTTTGCATACCTTTCCACTTGCATTTCTGTATCACTAAATTCTCTAATCCATGCAGTATAGCAGAAAAAGCCTTTCTCCTAACAACCCTCCACACATCTTTCAAGAAGGGCTTTCAGAATCTGGGCAGGTTCATACAGAAGGAGACCTTCCTTTATATATCTAGACTGTTCCTTTAGATATTTCATATTTAGCGCAAAAAAGGCAAGCTTTGTTTATGCTCTGGTACTTCCCAATGAACTGCAAAGATTATGAGAATCTGTATGAGAGGTTTCTGTTTCTGTTCCTGTTCATGATGTGAATCTACTCAGAAGCACTCTGACATAACTGGCCATCTTTTACCAAAGTTGTGCCCTTTAGGTATTTTGGAATGTAACTCCAATCAGCATGGCCATTGCCCTCAGGGAAGCTGCTACTGACAAATTTATGGAAACAAGGAGAGCAGCAAAGACATTTGCATGGCAATTCAGTTTTCACCTAAGAATTTTCTGAACCTTGAGGATAAGAACAGGAGCTGTTGTCACTCTGTTCAGTCTCCTGCTGGAGAATGAACTTCCTGGTAGTTTCTGACTATGATGCAGTTGTAGAGGCAAGGCAGGAATGAATGAAGCTCAGAGAAGATTATTATTTTTAGGCAGGCTTAACTATATAATAACTATATAGTTATTAAGTGCAATTGGTTTAAGAGCTTGTGCAATTGGTTTACGAGGATGCCTGTTGATTGAAAAGGATGCCACATGGTGTTGAAGAGGGTATATTTGACTTCCCTGATCACTCTTTGTATCATTCGACATATCTGCTGACTTACTAAATTTGGTCGTTTCTGCACATAATTACACTTTTCTCCTCATCAGTTTTGAAATCTTAATGCTTGGATCCTCTTTCCAAACGGCAGTAAGAAAGGTGTGATGCACAGTTTCACAACAATTATTGTTTGATTTATTTATGCATGTAAAATGAACTCATTGTGGAAAAGCAGGTTTAAAGATTGGAAAGAAATGTTTGGTGGACTTGGACAAATAGGCTATTGCTATTTTTTTAAAGTTTGGATTAGCTTGTAGACTACAATGATAACTTTCCACTATTCTGTGCATTTTGTGCAAAATAGGACTTGCCAACTACAGCCACATGGTATTATGTGCAATTCAAATATTTGTTAATATCTATATTTGGTTGTGCTGTTTTTACAACTTCATAGCCCTCTTTGTTGTTGGAATTATTGATATACCAACCTGCAATCCATGCTTATGACCATCTTTTTGTGAATAAATACCATGCACAAAATATTAAGCAAGAATGGAAGAATGAATTGAAGTATCCTGTTTTGCCCATTCAGTGGGTTACTTCATTGGCATCAGTCTCAGAAGGGGCAATGCATTTTAGGTTACATTTACATTTAATTCAGAAAAACTGAATGTTTGAGCATATTGGAATAACACTTCACTTACTCAGATGTTTTGGCAATGACCAGTGACTGTCTCCTTTGAGAAGGTAAAACAAAGTTCTTTAAGTTCTTTAGTACTTAAGGACATGCATATCTTCTTGAGTTATCTGTTTTTTTGGAACTGTGTCCTTTTGACAACTTGAAAAAATTATTTTGCAGTAATGGAAGAACACACAGCTATGTGCAGTAACAAAGTGGGTTAATCGTATATTAATAGTATATTTTGCTTTAAACAAAATACTAGGAATAAACCTTATATGTTTATCTATTTCAATATTTACTGAAATTTTATGTAAGGAAATACATATTTTATTACCTTTTAACCTTTGTTTTATGTTTTGGTTTTGATTTTGAAACTCAAAAGAAAAAATAATAACTACCTCTTCATAGTTTCTTATAAAATTTCAATTTCTGGAAAGCTGTGGCCTTGTTTTTGCCCTCCCTGCACCCAGCAGTCATTTGTGATCTAGAATGGGTTCTTATCTGAACCTGAAAAGGTAGCCTGTAGAGATGCATGGAGACACACCAAGTATTGTTACATGTCCAAATTTCCATACTTTTGTATTGCAAGAGTTCTAACAAATAGTTACCAAAATTGCAAATAAGCTTAAGTCTGTTCACTAAGAAGTGTTTTAATAGAAATTAAATTTGTACAATGATAAGCTTTTTTTCCTTTAGGAACTATACTTTTGTGATATTGTGTAATTATTTTTTTCTTTCTGTTTTTTCCCCTTTTTCAGCTGCCTTAGCTGGACCAATCGTTGATCCACACGTGAGAGCAGTATGGGGGAAGAACGTTACACTGAAATGCATAATCGATATAAATGAAACATTAACACAAATTACATGGGAGAAAATACATGGGAAGAGTGCACACACTGTTGCTGTTCATCACCCTGACTATGGATTTTCTGTTCAAGGAGAATATCAAGGAAGAGTTTCACTCAAAAACACCTCTCTTACTGATGCGTCTATCATCCTAACCAATGTTACCTTCTCGGATTCTGGAGAATATGTATGCAAAGCAGCTACATTCCCTCTAGGAAATGCACAGTCATCAACAACTGTAGCTGTATTGGGTATGCTTGTTTTATGTTTGTTTTGCTAACATTTCACCCTAAATGTTTGTAAAGTTGTCAGTTTTAATATGGTTATCCAGTGTGCTAGATCCAAGCTTCCCCATCCATGAATGAAGGGGCTCCTTCCATTCATTGAGAGATTCACTGAGGAAACCATTCAAGGGGAACCTCCCTGCTGAACGAAGAGAATGATGATTTTCCCCAATTAATTCTTCCCCTTTAGTGTTTGCACCATCTTTCAGCTTTCAGGGTGTTTCTTGATCCAGAACAGATTTTCACCAGCTTATGGGTATCTGTGGGCATTAGTGGGAGGAAAGTTGATAAAAATTGCCTTAAGCATTTAGTTCATAGAATTCTGCTCCATGCTGCTGTAGATGCAGCCCAATGTGTGTGTGCTCTTAGAACAAGTATAGCAGTTCGTTCTACTTTAGTGACTGTGTGTCTAGAAAGTTCTTTTCACTTTATTATAAAACCAGTTAACTTTCGCAGTGTGTTTCAAATGGCAACAACTTCTTGATTTCCTTGGTTTTTTATATGTTTTAGTCATTGTGCTGCAGTTATTATGCCCCCTCACTGGATTCCAGAATTCTCTTCCTTTGATAGAAATATCTCCTCCTGAGTAGATTTCTGCCCATGGGAATCTTCCACTAATGGAAGGACAGGAAGAGTCGAGTGAGTGACCTAAGCTATTGGGTGGTATAAAAATGAAACAAATAAATGAAAGTGAATTCCAAAGTTTCCCCTTCACCATGTAACAGTGTATATCCTGAAAATCTGTTCCAGAGGGCTGCAGAAGGACCCTCTAGAATGAGGAATGGGCTTCAGGGAGAAAGGAAAATTAGCTGAGATTGTCTTCTTGTTTTCCTGGATCTCATTTTGTCCATTAACAAAAGGAGCCCATCCATTCATGGAATCCCAGTTCCAATTACAAAGTTCCTTGGGATCCTTCTTGATGAAAGACAAGGAAGCTGTAAGCCATCCTGAGATGTTTTATCGGGAAGGACGGGGTAAAAATGTTTTAAATAAATAAGTTCATTTAGCACCTATATAAATGGACATAGGTGGACTTCAGTGATCTGAATCTTTCACTGCCAAAGCTCCTCCTTATAGCCCATTTATTTGGCCCCATGGAGTGACCACTCTGCATTGTTGAATAAGGCTGGCATAAAGAGAGTCAGTGTGATGTAATTGTTAGAATGTTGGACTTTGACATAAGGGATGAAAGTTTTAGTTCCTACTCAGTCCAGATGCTCACTAGGTTACTCCAGGCCACTCACTGACTCTTAGCCCATCTTTCTTTACGGGTTCATTGGGAGGATAAAATGCAGAGGTGGAGGATCATGTGAGCTGCCTTGAATTCTCTTTAAGAGAGAGAAAGGTAGGAATTAAATATAATAGAAATAAAGAGGTTTGGTACAAAATCTGAGGCAGGGAAAACCACCTATGTTTTTTTTCCCTGGCAGCTTTTCCTGATGTCAATGTGTGTGTGTTTGAGAGAAGAGGGCATAACTTTTCTAATTCTCCCAATTGATTTGAAAAAAAGTCAAGTTTTTCTTTTTTCTTTTAAAAAACTTGCTTAATTGTCAAGTTAAACTTGTTGGGATGACAGATCATCCATCTCACAATTCTTTATTTTACTCCAGGATGTTCACTTTTCAGGTTCAAGAGGAATTTCGCAGCTGTTGTTCTTGTCAGTCTTTATAGGTTAACATGGCACAGTGATGGATAATGGTTGAATTCCAGCCTGCTTTAAATAAGATGAATTTGGCCAGATTCTCATGATCATCTTGCAGTTTCATAAATAAATATTTCCATCTGATATGGAGAACATGAAACAATCATGGCATTGCCGAGGTTCAAACCTCACACTGCGAAGAAAGCCGTGCAGTGTTGCTTTCTTGCCTCGGGGCCTATGATGTACCTAACAGATGGATGGGAACAGCAGGGGTATTGATACTCTTCTCCCAGGCTTCTGCTTCCTTCCCCTTCACTCTTCTTAGTGATATCCCACAGTTGGCAGGGAAGAGAACCTAGGTCCTGCTCTCGCTCTGTCTGCCATTTCAGGGACATGGGGTGGAGGGAGTTTCAGCTAGCTAGCTGAAGTTCCTTTTATGTGCTGGCCCGAACAGCTATCATTGGTGCAGCTGATGGTGGTGGGAAAAAGTGAGCTTCAGCTAGCTGGCTAAACTCCACTTCTTCTTTTTTGGGAAGGCTGGGAAAAGAACATGCTTCAGCCAGTTTGCTATAGCTCCCTCATCTCCCTTACTGGTCTAAAACAGCAAGTGAGGAAATGGCTGATGACAGTCTCCTGGGCTGTTAATGGTGCTTGTTGCAGCTGTGTGTAGTGAAGACTGGGGAAGTGAATAAGAACTCCCCTAGGTGCTGCTTGGGCACTTTGGGTGTCTGGTCATTGGAGACATATGGCAAGAGCAGCAAACCTTCCTGCTTCCCCTGGGTTTGTTAGGTTGTTCAGTACTTAATGAAATGGCAAGCCCAGATGTGACTACAAAATCCTACAGCAAACCATGACTTCAGATTCACAAAGAAGCCACCCTGTTGGGGAGGTTAGGTTTGAATAACATACTAAACAATCGGTAACTTATAGCGCCATGGAAACATGGCACCATCAATCACTGATTTGCTGATGACAAATTACTATTTGTGGTGGAGTTGTGAACTTCTGTATTTTGAAGTGGCACTGAGCTTCCCATAGTTGCCATGACTTGTTGACATCTTGGAAAAATGCAAGATTGCCAGGGAATGAATAGAGATGATATAGTATCTAAAATACTTATTTTCAAACATTGTATCATAACTTATTTCAATTATATCATTTAGTTAGATTTTCATGATTTGTCTAGAAATGAAATATTCAGTTTGACTGTACTGTGAATTACTGAATGTCTGTGAGGCCATAGCATTAGCACAGTAGCTTGGTTTACTAAGATGTGATGAGAGAAAAAAGCGCTGTTTATGAACTGTTACAAATCACCTAATTTATAGGCAGAATAGAAATGAATGATGATAAATAATTATGTATTTTGTGGCATGTTTTCAAGAAGCCTTAGGAAAAAGATTAATTGCCACCCCACCCCCCATGTATCACTTACCTTTAGCAGGTACACTAATGTCCATATTCTTGCTTCACTTATTTACTTTGGGGGGTAGTTCTCTTGCTGCATGATCTGTTTTCTGTACCTATGCTATGTAATAACTCACTTTCAACCTCCCAGATCCATCATCCCCAAAACGAATTAGCAAACAACTTCGTAATCACCTTTCTGTATCTATTAATGTTGTTCACTGTAGACAGCTTTTAACTGCTTTTTTCTTGTTGGTTAAACTAAGAAGTGTACCTTTGTATCTGCAGTGTCTTTTTGTCTTGAAGTAAAAGGTATGTCATTATGTACATTAGGTCATTAATTAATATGCAACTGGTTCCTGTTACTGGTTTGTAAAAAAAGCCTCCAAGCCCCCAAAATGCTTCTTTTAGAGGAGGAAACTGATATTTTAGTTAAAACACTAGCAAAGCTTTGATTTTTACTAAGTTAGAAAGGTACTTACTACTTAAGAGAGAGACTAAGTTGCTTGCATGCAATTTTCCTCAAAGCAAAATGAAATGTGATTTTTCCCTCTATTCTTGCTTCCTTGACTCTTTGCATTAACAGTTATAAAATGGATTGATTGATACATGCTTTGCAGTGTCAAAACAGATGGTCACCTATTGTGATCCTGAATTCTCTTCTCTGCTTCTGTCTATGCGGGAAGTGGAACAGTGCTAGCCAGCACGGGGTTTCTGTGTCACAAACTTTTCATATTTGATTTGGTCAACAGGCTTTGTTCATTCAGTTTCAAGGTTTTAAAGTTTGCTTTTATGAGGGAAAGAGTGCCTTTTTCTGCTCAAACAAGAAAATAATTTCTAAAACAGCATATCCTAACATAGCATAATCTCTTCCCATTTTCATAGCATAATCTCCTCCCATTTGGATCTCAAAGACACACTTTTAAACTAATATTTGAGACTTTGTTAGTCTGTGGTGGTTGCATTCTGTATAGATTGAAAAGAACATGTATGAAATTATTAGAGAACTAAGAAAAGTACTGTGATTCCTCAAGTCTAACCATATGTGTGTTGTAAGTCTAAGTGTATCATGTAAAAAATCATGTGCATAATTCAATTGTAAGGTTTTTGTGCCCAGCTGCATTAGTATTTGCACCATTGCACTTCCCTTCACACACAAACTGGTGTCTTTTGTACATGAAGAGCTTAGGCAGAAGTATATAAACTTTTGATGATATGCTGTGTATTTGTCTACCAAATCTTGTATTTGCAGAAGTATTAAGATTTTTTTCCACTTTGAAGGAGGCCCACTTTGATTCAGACATTTCTTGAATCTGGCCAAATGAGCCCAATTTAATTCAAGATTTTGTCCAAACTGAAATCCATCTCTACTATATAAAAATCTTTAAAGAAGTATTAAGGCTTAAAGTACTCTGTACAAGAAACTTAGATATTTTAATGTTTTTTTCAGTTATTTAGTTGACTAGAGTCTGTCTTAATCCCTTAATGTTGGGGGATGATAGGAGTTGTAGGCCAAACTGTCTGAAGAACCACAAGTTGTCCATCCTTGATTTAGGGGTTCTTACTTTCCAAGGAAAAAGCTCACAAAGTTTAGGTATGTCAATTATTAATAGCCATTTCCAAGGAAGAATATTTGCTGTGTACAATTACTTAAGCCTACTTTCTGTCTGATCCTACATTGATATGATCTCCTGAGAATTGGATTACAAAGAAGTGCTACATCTAGTATCTGAAGCAGGAGACATCACTAACTGTCATACAGATCTAAGTGCAATTAGCATTTTTCAGGCAATTTTAAGGACTCTTTCTGAAAACAGGCAAAACAGAACTTATAACTTGTTAAATATATAAAGCCTTACTTTGCAGTCCGTCAATCATGTTGGTTAAATACGTCCTTTTGCCTTTTTTTTTTTTTTTT